AGAGGAGATAACAAACCTAAAAAAAGGATCTCCTCAGACTGAGGCCCAAGGGTCCAACCCCCCAGGTACCAGATGTAGCAATGACAGGGACCCCTACAATGGGTGCCACCTTTGCTGAAATGCTGAAGAACCCAGGAGCAATGGCCACAGTCAAGGAAGTTGTAATGAACGCTGTAACCTCACAGGAGGCAGCTAGATGCACGAGCAGTAGTAGTGATTGGTGTTAAGGAACAAGAGGGTTCCACAAGGGAAGAATGGAGGTCTAAGGACAAAGCTGCAGTGGCAGGGATACTAAAGGAGACAGGTCTGGAAGGGGCTGAAACAGACATAGAAAAGTTTTTCCGGATTGGCCAGTACAACAAAAACAAAGACCGGTTGATCAAGGTAGTGCTCAAAAACGAGTGCATCAAAGAGGACATACCAGCAAAAAAGAGCAAACTGAAATATGTAAAGAATTGCAGACAGGTATTCCTTCAGAGGGACATGACCAGGACAGAGATCATACTGGCAGCAGATGCAAGGAAAAGGTGCAGGCAGAGGGAAAGGAGCCAGGGAACCTCAATCCCCAACCCAGCAATCCCAGAGGGGAGTGTGGAACCCCAACCCAGCACCTCGGCAACCCCAGAGGGGACTGCAGCATCCCAACTCACCACCCTATAGGTGGGGAGTTCCGCCCAATTCCACCCTCCCTCCCTACCCCGAGTACCCCCTTCCCTCCTACCCCCTGGTCTTCCTCCTGCCCCAAGCCGGCCCAGACACGAATTAAGTCCTCCATGCCCCACCCCAGTTCTAAGCCATCCTCCCCCTGCCCCTCCTTCCCCCCCCCCCCACCTCCCTCAGAACCCCTGGTAACTACCCCACAGGAGGATGAGCCTACCCAAGCAGCAACGCCCATGGAACAGCTTCCTGCACTAGTGGGGAGGGTGGGTGAAAATGGACATAGGAAAGTGAGCTTCAAGGTAATGTACTCAAACATCGATGGGATTACCAACAAAGCAAGTGAACTGGCAGAAAGAGCGCAGGAAGAAAACCCAGATGTAATAGGACTCACAGAAGCAAAATTGTCAGGAGTCATAACAAATGCTGTATTTCCAAAGGACTTTTATATAGTAAGGAAAGAGAGAGAGAGGAGAGGAGGAGGAGGAGTGGCTCTGCTGATAAGGAAGGACTAGAGCTTTGAAGAGATGGAAATTCTGGGCTGTGACGGATTCAGAGATTACATAACAGGAACTATGACAATGGGTGGACCTAAGATAATAGTGGCAGTCATTTACAACTCTCCATTAAATGACAGAAGACCTAGACAAGAGTTCGACAGGAACAACTTGGCTACCATTAACATAATAGAGAGAGCAGCTTCAGTTGCTTGCAGGAATGGATCCAGACTCTTAATCATGGCCGATTTCAACCATGGAAAGATAGATTGGGAGAATTCGGACCCACATGGAGGTGAAGACACATGGAGATCTAAACTTTTGGAAGTGAGTACAAGGAACTTTCTGAGCCAACATGTCAAGGGGCCCAAAAGAATGAGAGGAAATGAGGAACCAGCTAGACTCGATCTGATTTTCACCTTAAATGACACAGAAATAAAGGAAGTCAAATATAAAGCTCCCATAGGAATGAGTGACGACAGTGTATTGATATTTGAGTATCTGGTAGAAGTAGGGCTAACCTATCCAAGAATGGAATTGGAAGAAAAAAGACTAAATTACCGAAGAGGAAAATATGACGAGATGAGGAACTTCCTAATGGGAATACCATGGAAAACAGAACTCAGAGAAAAGGCTGTACAGGATATGATGGATTATGTCACTCAGAAGTGTCAGGAGGCTGCGGATAGGTTTATGCCAGTCCAAAAAGTGAAAAATGAAAAGCAACAGAAGAATCCGTGGTTCAACCAGGAATGTGCGGCAGCGAAGCAATTGAGTAAAAGAACATGGCGAAACTACATGAACAACAGAACACCAGAGAGCAGGGAGAAATACCAGACGGCCAGAAATGAGTACATCAGAGTGAGGAGAGAAGCAGAGAGACAGTATGAAAATGACATCACGAGTAAAGCTAAGACCCAAGAAAACTGCTCCACAGCCACATCAGGAGGAAAACAGCAGTGAAGGGTCAAGTGATGAAACTGAGAAAAGGGAAGAACAGATACACAGAGAACGACAAAGAGGTGCGTGAAGAACTCAACAAGAGATTCCAGGAGGTTTTCACAATAGAACAAGGAAAGGTCCCTGTACTAAATGAGGAGGCAAACCGAACAACCTTGGAGGAAATTTACCTCACCAGTGATGAGGTCAAAAGGAATTTGTTGAAGCTGAATGTGTCAAAGGCTGTTGGGCCTGACAGAATCTCACCGTGGATTCTGAAAGAAGGTGCAAAAGCACTAAGTGTGCCACTCTCTATGGTGTATAACAGGTCACTGGAAACGGGAGACCTTCCAGAAAGCTGGAAGACAGCTAATGTAGTCCCAATTTACAAAAAGGGTAACAGGCAAGAGACACTGAACTACAGGCCAGTTTCCCTAACTTGTATACAATGCAAGGTGATGGAGAAGATTGTGAGAAAAAGGCTCGTAGAGCATCTGGAGGGAAACAGCTTTGTAACACACAACCAGCATGGGTTCAGAAATGGTAAATCGTGCCTCACAGGCCTAATAGAATTCTATGACCAAGCAACACAAACTAGGCAGGAAAGAGAAGGGTGGGCAGACTGCATTTTCTTGGACTGTCAGAAAGCCTTTGACACAGTACCTCACAAAAGGCTGTTACAAAAGTTGGAGCAGCCGGCAGGAGTAAAAGGTAAGGTGCTCCAGTGGATAAGGCAGTATCTAAGCAATAGGAAACAGCTAGTAACGGTGAAGGGGGGGGGGGCATCAGAGTGGCGAGATGTCACCAGCGGGTCCCACAGGACTGTGTACTCGGACCCATCCTGTTTCTAGTATATGTAAACGACCTTCCAGAGGGTATAGACTCATTCTTCTTAATGTTTGCTGACGATGCCAAAATTATGAAAAGAATAAAAACAGATGAAGATAGACAGAGACTACAGGACGACCTGGACAAACTGGAGGAATGGTCTAGAAAATGGCTGCTAAAGTTCAAGTCAGGAAAGTGTAAATTAATGAAATTAGGCGAAGGGAGCAGAAGGCTGAACACAAGGTACCAAGTGGGAGGTGATATCCTACAAGAGTCAAATAGAGAGAAAGATCTGGGGGTCGATATCACACCGAACCTATCCCAAGAAGCCCACATCAAAAGGATATCATCAGCGGCATATGCTAGACTGGCCAATATAAGAACTGCTTTTAGAAACTTGTGTAAGGAATTGTTCAGGGCCCTGTATACCACTTATGTAAGACCATTCCCGAAATATGCAGCTCCAGCCAGGAGTCCATACCAAGTTAAACACAAGAGGAAGTTAGAGAAGATTCAGAGGTATGCCACCAGACTTGTCCCGGAACTGAGAGGAATGAGTTACGAGGAAAGGCTAAGGGAGCTGGACCTCACAACCCTGGAAAACAGAAGAGTAAGGGGAGACATGATAACCAACTACAACATTCTTAGGGGATTTAACAGGGTGAACAAAGACAAACTCTTTAGCGCGAGTGGAACACGAACAAGGGGACACAGGTGGAAACTTAGTACCCAGATGAGCCACAGAGACGTTAGAAAGAATTTGTTCAGTGTCAGGGTAGTTAACAAATGGAATGGATTAAGTAGTGTTGTGGTGGAGGCTGACTCCATACACAGTTTCAAATGTAAATATAATAGAGCCCAATAGGCTCAGGAATCTGTACACCAGTTGTTTGACAGTTGAGAGGCGGGACCAAAAAGCCAGAGCTCAACCCCCGCAAACACAACTAGGTGAGTACAACTAGGTGAGTACTACACAGTATACCACTGTATCACACACCTCAATCCATCACTGTATCATACTCCACAGTCCCCCATTGTAATTACACTCCACAGTCCACCACTGTATCACACTCGACAGTCTGCTACTGAATCACACTTTACAGTCCTCCGCTGTATCACACTCCACAGTCATTCACTATATCACACTCCAGTCTAAAAAGTATCACACTACACCATTCACCACTGTATCACACTCAACAGTCCATCACTGTATCACACTCCACAGTCCATCACTGTATCACACTCCACACTTCACCACTGTATCACACTGAACAATCCATCACTGTATCACACTCCAGTCCACCACTGTATCACACTGAACAATCCATCACTGTATCACACTCCAGTCTATCACTGTATCACACTCCACAGTCCATCACTGTATCACACTCCACCACTGTATCACACACCACAGTCTGCTACTGAATCACACTCCACAGTCCATCACTGTATCACACTCCACAGTCCATCACTGTATCACACTCCACAGTACCCCACTGTATTACACTCCACAGTCTGCTACTGAATTACACTCCACATTTCACCACTGTGTCACACTCCAAAGCCCACAACTGTATCACACTTCAGTCCACCACTGTATCACACTCCACAGTCTATCACTGTATCACACTCCACCACTGTATCACACTCCACCACTGTATCACACTGCAGTCCACCACTTTATCACACTGCACTGTCCTCTACTGTATCACACTGCACAGTCCACCACTGTATCACACTGCACTGTCCACCACTGTATCACACTTCACAGTCCACCACTGTATCACACTCCACCACTGAATCACACTGCACTGTCCTCTACTGTATCACACTGCACAGTCCACCACTGTATCACACTGCACTGTCCACCACTGTATCACACTTCACAGACCACCACTGTATCACACGCCGCCACTGTATTACACTCAAACACACTCCACCAGTGTATAACACTCCACCAATGAATCACACTCCAGCACTGTATCACACCCCCACAGTACACCACTGTATCACTCTCCAGAGTCCACCACTTACCACCAAAGTGTCTACCACGTCTCACCACACTGGTCTTTTCCTCAGTCTGGACACCAGCCCATTCGTCCGCCACAGCCTCTGCTCTACGCTTGTTCTGGGCTTCTACCTGATGATCGGAGTTGTCGGCTGCAACCAGCCTACTTACCAGAGGTTGGCCTCCGTCAGCACTCTGCACACAGCTCAATGGTAATTCTTCTCTTCCCTGTTCTCACTAACTGGACATAGCAAAACTTATTTTAATGTTTATTTGACGGGATGAGAGGAAGACCAAATTTTCATTAATCCAGCCACCAAACCTTCCGTTTATGAAGGAAAAACACTTTACATACAATACGTCCTCAGGCTATATTCATCCCATCCAGCTGCCGACCTCAAAGGCATATTGGTACGTTTAAAAATACTGTTCACTCAAAATATTATTTTTTTATATATACATTACTATTATTGAATATTAGCATGTTGTGCATATTTAGGCATAGGTTTGGTTCGTTTAGGTTCTGCTGACAATTATTTGTATACGTAGTACCGTTATACTCGACTATGAATGTTGACCACTTGCCAAATGTTTCTCAATAAATCGTTGTTTTCAAAATGTGTGATTTTTTTTAGAAGATACGTTACGTTCATTTGCTTTTTTTGTGGCATGATTGTCACTATTGCAGGTTGTGTATCTTCACCCTGGTGGGGCTCTGGTGCCTGTGGTCGTTGTTCTTCTTCTCGGGCCTCGTCGCATACGCCACATACAGAGACTGTGACCCTCTCACCACCGGCAAGATAACTAAACCTGACCAGATCATTCCGTTTCTGGTGACAGATAAACTGAATCACCTTACGGGAATGGCTGGGATCTTCGTGTCGGCCGTGTACAGTGGTGTTCTCAGGTGAGGACCGCTAATGGCACTGTCCTGTTGTTCCACTCTCTGGAGGTTTTTGTTTTAAGGTATGGCCCATTAAGGGCACTTTTCTCTTCCATTCACTTGGGTTCTAGGGAACTCGAACCGTGGACCCCACGTTTGTGAGGCCGAAGCTCACCCTCTTTTACACTCTCCTCATGTTCCTCTCTCCTGAGGGTTGGTTTCTAAGATTAGACCCGCTAACGACAATTCCGGTTGTCCCAGTCTGTGGAAAGACCAGTCGCTAACACTAATTGTTATGATCAAGAGATTCCCAGCAGGGTTAATAGCACCTGTTGAATGAGGAAGATAATTAACGTCGACTAGAGTGGGAAACTGCCTGTTCAATATCTATGTAATTCTCAAATGCAAGCAATATTTACTCTTCATGGAAACATAAGTCGTGTTTAGAACTCCTTATTTTTCAATGTCTGATTATTTGAGTATAACTGCATATAATCATTCAATACGTCATTCCTCATTCAAAATAGTGAGACGACTTCCGATCTCTTGGTCAGAGAGGTAATTAAATAATCAAAATAAATCTTTACAGACACAGTTATATCTAAGCCTTAATTATTCGATAAGTTTTCCCCATACTAATAAGATTATCTTAACACCGATACTATCAAACGGTTAGTAACAGCTGCTATGAAGAAATTTCATATTCCATGATGACCCCCGTCGTAGAGCAAGTCCAAACATTAATGTTCCACTCTCTTTTCTATTTCTTCAAGGTAATGGTCACTTTCATAGATCACAAAGCTGCAGGAGTCACACCATTGTTTCTACAAATGCCTGTGGGATTCGACAGCCTGCCACCAGAGTGTTCTCATATTCAGGCGATGAGTCACAATAACGTGGCTAAAGTATGTTGACCAGACCACACACTAGAAGATGAAGGAACGACGACGTTTCGTTCCGTCCTGGACCATTCTCAAGTCGATTGTGAATGATTCTCAAGTTCACAATCGACTTGATTATGTTCCAGGACGGACCGAAACCTCGTCGTCCCTTCACCTTCTAGTGTGTGGTCTGGTCAACATGTTCTCATATTGCTCCCCCAAGGTTTGGAGCTGGCTTTTGGTCGTATGGCCTTTCCATGACCTGTTTGGGGTTCTGCTGGTATGGGTGTGTGATTATTCGACAATGGGGCCCACCTTACTTCTGGTGAAGCGGACTGCCTCGGCTGGCTTGGAGTTTTCCTCGTCCGTGGACCATACGTCGGTTTGTGTACCGTTAGTTAAGGTGCTCCTTGTCAACATAGCGGATGTGATGGGCGTCCAGCTCATTCGAGACCGACGTGTGGTGTTAAATTTCTGCAGCAGGGTGTGTTCCAGGAGTTCGTCAACTGATGTGAGGGACGCTCATTCCCTATGCTTGACAGATTGGGCACAGTACGGGTAGTAAACTTAAGTGTGAAAACGACGTACGTGGCGGTGCATGGAGCCCCGTTCGAAATGATGGATTTTCTGTTGACCCGGCTGTTTAGACAGTTTGGGAAGGTGCTCGGCATACGTTGAAACAAGTTCCCTGCAGGCTATTGTAAGGGGTTGCGTGCTGGCACCAGGATTTTGACTATATCCCTGGAAAGGAATGTTCCGTCTTCGATATCCCTGATTGGGTATGCCCTACACTCGTACGTATTCTGGTCAGCCATGTATGTGTTTTCGGTGTGGGTTACCAGGACAGCTGACGGCGGCATGCTTAGTTTGTGCGGCTGACCAGGTCAATATTTTCCAAGATGGTGATGTTCCGCCTCTGAAAACTTAGGACGTTCCAGTGGGGGTGTTGGCTGAGAGTGTTGTTCTGCCTCCCAGACTTCCAGAAGATAGGCCTGTGTGTGTGTGTGTTTCCCGAGTGCGAGCGGTGGTGCACCCTGCGTTACCAAAGGTCATTAGACAACCGGTATATGGCTGTGGTGGTGCCTGAAGGGCTGTGTGTCCAGCCTAATGTGCAAGTGAAGGTACTCGGTGCGCTGCTTACGGTGGTGGTGAAGGAGGCTACCCACGGGGTGTCCTCTGCTGCTGTGAAGTGCGTGTCTGGTGAGTCTTTTCCAGCTGTGGGGCCTCTAGATGTGAAGGTTCCGCCTCTTCTCTGGTGCGTCGCCAGCTACCACTTCTATGTAGGATGTGCATCCCCCACGACACATTCAGGATCCGACGCTTCTGTCTCCGATGGTGCCTGAGCAGAAACGGCGGAGGTAAGCTACCCGAATGCGATTCCATGATTGTGAGGACTCTTTGCAGCAGATGGAGGATGTTCATTGGCAGGGCTCAATAATTTATGTGTCCATTCGCCACTCCAGTTGGTATTTCGTGATCAAGATATATATACACAATATATACATTGAGAGGCTTACCCGTTTCTGAGTTTACTTTAGTATTAAGCTATGTTCGTAACTAGAATATTGTTGCTGGTTGGTCGGTACACTATTGTGAGGATTGGTACGCTGGCCACCAGAGAGAGCATAAATGTTTACTGTGAGCTCTTCAGTAGGTCGCAGTCCAAAGTGGTGGTAGTCGTGTGGCTGGGGTCGGGCCTGGGTTGGTGCCCTGCCTTTATGGAGTGGGGATCTTTTTAACATGGGTTCAACCTCGTCTCCCTTGAAGAGGGTTGCATTTGGCTGGTTTAGAGTTCTCACCAGTGGACCACACGTTGTTTGGAACTGAGTTGGTTGATGTGCTACATATCAAGCTACCCGATTTGGTGGGCGTTCAGCTCCTTCAAAATCGTCGAGCAGGTGGTGAAATTTATACGTCGAGTTGGGTTCCAGGAGTTCCTTCGTCGGTGTGAGGGGGCGGTCTCTCACTCTGCCTGATGGCGCAGTGACTGTTCACGGCGTCAATCAGACTGTGAAATTGACGTATGTGGCGGTGCTTGTTGCTCCCTTTGAAATAACTGATGGGCTGCTGACCTGGCTGTTTTAGCAGTTTGACCTCTTCATTATCCCTGATGGGGTTTACGCTCCGCTGTCTGTATAAAGATCAGCGCCGTACTTTTTATAGATGTGTCCAGCAGGACCACCTGGCGGCGGTTTGCTCCGTGGGAGCTGCTGATCGTGTCAACATCTTCAGGGCGATTTTCCGTCCTTCCATACCCAGCATCTGCTGTATACAGTGTTTCAAGGTATTGTATACAACGTTCTCAATGTGCTGTATACAGTGTTCTCAAGGTGCTGTATACAATGTTGTCAAAGTGCTGTAAACAATGTTCTCATAGAGCTGTAAACAATGTTCTCAATGTGCTGTATTAAATGTTCTCACGGTGCTGGATACAATAATTTCAAGGTGCTGTATACCGTGATCTTAGGGTTGACCAAACCACACACTAGAAAGTGAAAGGACGACGACGTCCCTTCACTCAAGTTCTCAAGTCGATTGTGTTTTCAAGAGGCTGTTCTCAAAAGGCTCTTGCTTCTCAAGAGGCCTTTCTCACAGTCGACTTGAGAGTGGTCCAGGACGGACGGAAATGTCGTCGTCCCTTCACTTTCTAGTGTGTGGTTTGGTCAACATATTTCAGCCACGTTATTGTGACTCCTCGTCTGTGATCTTACGGTGCTTTATACAATGTTCTCGAGGAGGTGTATACATTGTTCTCAAGTTGCTGTATACAGTGTTCTCAAGGTGCTCTATACAATGTTCTCAAGGTGCTGTATACAATGTTTTCAAGGTGCTGTATTCAATGTTCTCAAGGTGTTGTATACAATGTTTTCAAGGTGCTGTATACGGTGCTCTCAAGGGGCTGTATACGGTGTTCTCATGATGCTGTATACAATGTTCTCAAGGTGCTGTATTCAATGTTCACAAGGTGCTGTATTCAATGTTCACAAGGTGCTGTGTTCAATGTTCACAAGGTGCTGTATTCAATGTTCTCAAGGTGCTGTGTTCAATGTTCACAAGGTGCTGTATTCAATGTTCACAAGGTGCTGTGTTCAATGTTCACAAGGTGCTGTATTCAGTGTTCTCAAGGTGCTGTATTCAATGTTCACAAGGTGCTGTATTCAATGTTCACAAGGTGCTGTATTCAATGTTCACCAGGTGCTGTATTCAATGTTCAAAAGGTGCTGTATTCAATGTTCTCAAGGTACTGTATTCAATGTTCACAAGGTGCTGTATTCAATGTTCACAAGGTGCTGTATTCAATGTTCTCAAGGTACTGTATTCAATGTTCACAAGGTGCTGTATTCAATGTTCTCAAGGTACTGTATTCAATGTTCACAAGGTGCTGTATTCAATGTTCACAAGGTGCTGTATTCAATGTCCTCAAGGTACTGTATACGGTATTCTCAATGTGCTGTATATAGTGTTCTCAAGGTGCTGCTTACAATGTAAGGTGCTGCATACAGTACTTACCTAGTTGTACTCACCTAGTTGTGCTTGCGTGGGTTGAGCTGTGGCTCTTTGGTCCCGCCTCTCAACTGTTAATCTACTGGTGTACAGATTCCTGAGCATTTCGAGCTCTATCATATCAGCACTTGAAACTGTGTATGGAGTCAGTCTCTACTACATTACATCTTAGTGCATTCATTCCATTTACTAACTACTCTGACACTGAAAAAGTTCTTTCTAATGTCTCTGTGGCTCATTTGGGTACTCAGCTTCCACCTGTGTCCCCTAGTGCGTGTACCACCCGTAATAAATAATCCAATCTTGTCTACCCTGTCAATTCCTCTGATAATTTTGTATGTGGTGGTCATGTCTCCCAAGGGATCTTCTGTCTTCCCGTGAAGTGAGGTGCAGATCCCTCAGCCTTTCCTCGTAACTCATGCTCTTATTTCTGGGACTAGACTAGTTGCATACCTCTAAACTTTTTCAAGTCTCGTCTTGTGCTTTACAAGGTACGGGCTCCTTGCTGGGGCCGCATACTCCAGAATTTGCCTTACATACGTAGTATACAAGGTTCTGAAAGATTTCTTACACAGGTTTCTGAAGGCGGTTCTGACGTTAGCCAGCCACGCCCTTGCATACGCCGCCGATGTTATTCTT